ACACGCGCACTAAAGCCTGTGTTGGTCTAACCAGACTACATCACGTCGCGTATGCGTGCACTCTGTAGGTTTAGCTATTGCAATATACTCGATAACGTCATGATGTCTCACGAGTTCAGTATTTGCGCTAAACCTGCGCAGATTTGGCCTGCATGAACTTCCCCAAGAAATGAATGAGTGAACATAATTTACGAAAAGTAACCCACCAAATTGGCTAGTGATTTGACAGCGTTACCCGCCACAGCTGATTTTTACCCGTTAATTTCAAATTGTGTGTGTGTGTTTGTGTGTTTTAACGGTCTTTCATAACTGATTGCTCAGCAGTGCTTGTTCTTCTGCTCTAGTATCAATATTCAGTAAGAAAAGAGACACTGGATAAAATCGGTGAATCAGGAATAAGAAGATGATTGTTCTTATCAATCCACAAACAACAATACCAGATTTTGTTTCTTTGACTCTTTTTGCTATAACAAACATGATTCAAAAACACATTGTTACAGCAGTCAAAGAAAAGTTAATGTTGAAGGTTCAAGAGCCCAACTAAAGCCCCCCCCCCGCCAAAACAAAAACAAACAAACATCTAAACCTCTTCAACTCTCAATAAGATCTTCTGTAGATATCTGACAGAAATAAAGTCAGTCTGGTAATGAGTGAAGCTGGTAATGTTGTTTTAGGAGTTGTTTAATCAGATCTTGAGAGATTCAATGTCTTCTTTTATTTCAGTTGATTTCGTCTAAGGCTGTGGCTGAAGTCAGGTGTAGTTCTTGTGTTTCTCTTTCATTCAGTAATTTTGCTTGTTAACAGCAGCTGTTACTTAATTAATCACAAAATTATCTCATTAACTTCAGCACTGATTCAGTGTTACTTTAACACTCTGTAGTGTGCACACGTTATAAGTGTTCACTTAAAACTAAGGATTTTGTTGTGGGCTTTAAAGGGTTAAAGATGTAAGATAAAAAAACTGCATGTAACATAATTTAAAAGTAATAAACTGTAATTAATTTACAGCAACACTGTATAAAAACAGTAACATCCTGGCAACCAGAGCTGCCAGTAGATTATGTTAATTCAAGGAAAAAACAGTAATATACTGTAAAATGTGACAGTCAGATTTACCAAACAAAACAAGTTAATTATTGTTAATTAACTTGCTGCTTTATTTAAAGACAGTAACTGTGCTGTTGCTGATACAGTGACAATCTCTTTACTAAGTATTTTATTACATAAATGTGTGCTATGCTAATTAATGACAATCTACAAAGATTTGAGTAAAAGTCATGTTTTGTTTGCTTTTTTATTACACTTAAAGTGTTTGTGCTTTTATATTAAGAAATATTTCTTCTTAGTGGACTCAAATGAAATACTTAAGTTCACTGTACTAACACCATATAAACAGTAGCTTTTTTAAACTCGAATGATTTGAAGTAATCGGCTTCCAAAATGAAATTAGTTACCACATGTTATAATAACGGTAACATACTGTAAAAATGAAGAGCTGTAAATTATCTGTACAATGCTGGCAACCACAGCTGCCAGTAGATTACCGTTATTTTACAGTGCATTTTTTTAGTTAACATGAACTAAGAATGAACAATAGTTCTTCAGCATTTATTAATCTTAATTAATGTTAATTTCAGCATTTACTAATGCATTATTAAAATCAACAGTTGTGCTTGTTAACAGTTAATGCACTCTGAATTAACACAAACTAAAAGTGAATAACTGTATTCTCATTAACTAACATTAAGAAGTATTAATAAATACTGTAATAAATGTATTGTTCATTGTTCATTCATGTTAGTTACTACATTAACTAACATTAACTAATAGAACCTTATTGTAAAGTGTTACCAACATTTTTACTAAAAAGTATCTACATTATGATGCTACATCAACATAAAGTGCAATTCAAATTCAACCTAATATTCAGTTTTTGCTTACAGTTTTTACAGTCACTAGGATCCATTTCTCAATAAGGGTTTTGAAAAATGAGATATGTATTGAGAAATAGGTTCTAGCCTTTGTAAATAACTGTAAACATAGTTTTGACATAAAATATTTACTTGAAGTACCCCTGAGATTTTAAGTGAATATTTCAATATATAAACAAATTTGCATTTTCAAGGGGTCCATATAGCATGAAAGAAAATCAGTGTATAACTCCAACCTGGCATAAAAAAAGCATGTATAAATCCTACGATTGCTGATTACTTCACATTACCCCACATTAGCTATACATTCCTACCGTAACTATAAATGTTAGTCTATTGGAACTTATTTCTCTTATTTCTATCATCTGATTAACCAGCGTTTGGAGCAAAATATGTAACATTAACTTATACAGTGAATTTTGTAAATGTTGTTCAGGAAACCTAAAACTTCAACTTACTTTATTCGGGAATAATTAACAAGCTTGCGATTAATACATGTTATTTTAAACATGTATGTAAAACTATACAGGGAATCCTATTGTTAAGGTTAAAAGTAATTAATTTGAAGTTATACAAGTTCATATTAGACCATTTTTATAATAACGGTATATCTATACATTTTTATTAATTATAATGAATATGAATAAGAATGTAATGCATGTAATTTTTGCAAAATTCTCCTCTAGTGTAGGCTATATTTTTCTCGCTAGTTTATGGACAGTGAATGGATTTCCTGAGGTAATGTGACAATGTTTTCAAGCTGCTGTCTTTCCATTCATGAGTGATTACATGAGACACTTCAGTAAGTTGTAGTGTATCTTTCAATATGTTCTCGGATGTTCATCATGTTTATTTCATGCTAATTAGAATGCACTGCTGCTTCGCTTGAACTGAGGCAAAGCTGTATTTATCTTATGAAATTCTTAATAAAACTAACAGAGTTTGAATGCTGAGAATTTGTTTCCTATTATCAAAAGTAACCTTTGTCTTGTCTGTCAGCGCGTTGTCTGTGTCCTCTTTGCTGTGCAGTGTTTTTTACTCGGTAAGAAAAGGAACGTGTGGCGTGAGAGCGCGTACGTGACAGTATCCGCTGGTTAAGTGGTGACGTAAGAAGCGTTGTTTCCGGGTCCAAGCCTCAACTCGCTTCACTTGAGAATACTACCTCAGCAGCCGTTTATGAGCACTGTTTATTCATATTAAACATTTAATCTAAACGTTTTCAAACTTACGGTGTATACTAGTCTCCAAGCTCACAGCGTCCCAAACATAAATTATTTTAAAGGTTAAAGGTTAGGGTTAAAGGTTAGGATTATAATTATTTTTGGTAGTATTATATCACATTGTGAGTGTATATTAGCACCTTTTGTTGTTTTCTCGTGGCGTCTGATAGAGCGTCTGGACGCGGTGACGCGTGACGTCAGACTTAACAAGCGGATAGCCGAGGCTGGAAGGTACACCGGACGAGATGAAGCGCAATGCAGCACACCAGACGTGTCGTGTCCTTGAGTTCGAAGCTAAAATAAATGCTTCTTTCAGCACGATTAAACAAAGAAAATGAAATCGTAGCATATCACATTTTGGGGTGGCCAATCAGATGTCGGGGATGTCCAGTGCCACCCTGGACACCCTCTGGATCCGCCACTGATCTGAAGCAGTGAAGGTGAACAGAATCTGTGAATATGGGGTGCATAAATTGGTTCTTACCGTTCGACATCATCTAGCTCACTTTTCATCTATAATGAAAAAGGAGAATCAAAACCAATCATTAGTATGATCTTAAGTTTTAATCTTAATGTAAACCTCAAACGTAGCAGAAAAGTAGTATCGTGTTTAAGCATTTTAAAATTAAAAGTAATATAATCCTTAAGAGTAGAAATTCTCAAACCAGTTCCATAGGTGCCAGCAGCAAATGAAATTTAATCTTTGTTTCAGAAAGCCATTTTTTTAAAGCCATGATTAACTATTCTGGATTAAGGCCTTCTCTTGTCTTAATTTAAACCCTGTCAAATGTAAACATAATATAATCCTAAACTAATACAAGCAGATCAGAGAAACTCACCGCGGCTGATCCCACAGTAATGCCTGGGGCAGGAGCAGCTAAGACACTCTGTTGTAATGAATATCTGCTATAGAATACTTCTGTATGCCGGCCTACAGTGGAGTTGCTGTCAAATGATGGAACTGCTGGAAAAGTGGTGGTGCTCCTGCCCCGGGACGATTGTTCTATAAAAGTGTCTCCTTCCTTAAAGATATTATGATCAAAGTTGTTTGACTTTAACATTAGTTAAGCTGTATGCTGTAGAGCAGGTGAGTTCGCTCTTTTATAGTGTGATTATTAGGTCACACCCTTTAAAGGCGTGAAATTTCCCAAACAGGTTTCATAGGTACCAGCAGCAAATGACATGTAAAAAATGCAGTTCATCTCGATTCACGTGTGTGTAGGGCACTAAACCATACCAAGACTGGAAAGACTGACTGTGTCATTGATTAGTTTATACTTTATTCTAAGCAAATGTTTTAATAACTTTCTCTCCCTCTCTGAACACAAACCAAAGAAATGTCTTAAATTCTCTTAAATTCTTCTCATAAATGTATTTTAAACATTTTAAATATAAGCAGTTAACCGTCAGCAGCACACTTGGCACACTCTTTTATTGCCTTTTCCCCCATTATTTAAGTAATCATAAGTAAATGACAAATTAGGTATTAGTCAAAAACTTGAATACTCAAAATTCATCCTCTAAAAACCATACTGAAATTAATCACTGCATTACCTTAGAAAACAAAGGTGAAAGAGAACACTGATTTATCATCATTTTCCTCTATAATGGAAAATAGAAACATAGAAAGAAGAAAACCGTTCATTCTGAAACCAGTTCAATGAATTACGACACATAAAAATGCCGTTCATCTCAACTGTCATCCCCAGCATGCTCATTCTTAAACTTCATAATTTAGGACTCAGTTCATTACTATGCAACTGGATCCTGAATTTCTTCTCAGAACGCCCTCAGGTGGTGAGACTGGGCACACAATTGTCTTCAACTATTACATTGAGCACTGACATGCCTCAAGGATTTGTATTGAGTCCCATTTTTTATTCCTCCTTTACACATGATTGTGTTCCTGTATCTTCTGATAACATTATTGTTAAATTTGCAGATGACACAACAGTGATTGGACTGATTACTAACAACAACGAATCAGCTTACAGAGGGGAGATAGAGAACTTGGTAAGCTGGTGCTCTAGGAACGTCTCGGTTACGTATGTAACCCTCGTCCCCTGAAGGAGGGAACGGAACACTACCCACTGAGTAAGACTGGATAACACTGGGGAAACGTACCCGTTCTACTTGGAACAGGGACGTTACGGAAGCTCCAACCTTCCCGAAGGAGGTTTCGGAAGCAATACACATATGGACATCCCTTAGGTGCATATGGAAGAATGGAGGTGATTGTAACCCTCTTGGAATGGCACAGTAGAGTAGTCAGGAGCAGAACGATGTGATCGCTCGGCTCCGAAGCGAAAAGCTGAATATGCGCTGCATCTGCTGCCTACTTATACTCACGCTGTGATCAGCAGCAGCTGGATGCAATAATCGCATGCCAATGTGCATTGGCTCGTTTAGTTTACACTCGAAGTAGATTGGTCCCTCTAAGCGAGATCCCAATTCGTCGGTCCTCCGACGTGACGTCGAGAGTGACCGACTGAAAGGGAACAGTTTGACCCTTAATACAGAGAAGACTAAGGAGTTCATAATCAACTTTGGGAGAACACAGCAGCTGGAATATGCTCCGTTGTTTATTAATGGGGACAGAGTGGGAAGAGTGTCCAGTTTCAAGTTTTTGGGCACATACATCTCAGAGGATCACTTGGTCCACAGATATCATGGCATTGGTAAAGCAAGCCTTCTGTCGTCTGATTTATAGTTTATCCAGTCAAAGCTCTTTTAGTGTAACTGTATAAACGTCCAGCTTCAGCTCATGCTTCACGTGTCTTTCTGCTGTCAAATCTTGACTGATTTTTATCAAGTAAACGTCAGAATAACTGTAGTCATATCTCCAGATGAACACTTTTTAAATTTATTTTTATTTATTTATTTTTAATTGCATTTAGTGTGTGGAGTTTGCATGTGAAATTTTGTTGGTGGGTACAATGAAAGTTGTATGCATACAATAAAAATAAAGAAATTCAATTAAATTCACATGTCATGTGGCCATGTGCCTTCAGGTACTGAATGACGCCAATGACGCTACAAACCTATGAAACAACATATGCAAACTAAAACACTTCATAACATCCAACGATGCCACTAATATGTCATCTTAGACATTAATAAATGAGCCACCCTTCTGTGTGTTTTTGTGTTTGTTGAAACTGTAGTGGTGTTCTTGTGTTTCTCAAGAAGACACAGATATGCTGAGCATTTATATAAAGTGAGACATGACAGTGCTGTTACTCTGAACATCTTTCACTAATGATGATGGAATGAATCTGTGCTGATCATCAGGTTTGACCTGTTATGAGGAAAACAAAGTAATTCATGTGATGCTGATATCAGTCAAAGAAAAATTGTTCAACAATGTCTATTAAAAAAAAAGTAATTAGCAAATTATTTGCAAAAAAAAAAAATGTTTATACAAAAACATAACACTGTCCTAGTTGAGAATCACAATAGTGCTAAAGCCACAAGCCTGGTCATGTTGTGCTTCACATCTGAGGATGATAAATGAGATTCGTGTTTATCCATTTGAACACATTCTTAAAAAACAAAAAGCGATGTTGTCCATTTCAAAGCCTTAAATGACTTCAGCAGCAATTCAGATCATCAATAAAAAGTGTCATCTGATAACTAAGAAATATAAAAAAAAATTATTTTGATCTCTCTCTAAAATTATTTCTTTCTCTAAATCCAAAACAGAAAGAAAATAAAATAAAAATGTTATGATGCTTCTAACACGGAATCTCACACACCAGTAGATAAACTCTTCCTCCGTATCATTGAATAACAACTAATTATAACATTTATTTGAAAACTCATTTTTAATGTTTTTAAATTAAGTTCCTCCTTAGTATTTTTGTCATGTTCAAGTTCAAATATCAATTTTTTTTAAAATCAAGATACATTTACTTGAGAAGCAAATGATTTAATATATTAAGTCTTGTTTTCTGAAAAATGTTTGATAATTTATTTAAAACAAAAACAAAATATCTGCCAGTGGGGTCAGAAAAATAATCTTAATTCAAAGGGAAAACAAAATGATTTTTCTAACCCCAATGACTTTTCCCCCTTGTTTTGGGCATCACTTATTTTTGATAATTTTTCTCAGAAAGCAAGACTTAATATCTTCAGTCATTTGGCTTCTCCAGTATATCTGTCTTGATTTAAGTATGTTTAGATATTTGTACTGGAAAACAAGACAAAAATACTGATGAAGAACATCATTTGCATACTGCATAATGTGGCATAAATTTTAACACATTTCTTATGTTCACTAAACATGTCTTAATGTTAATCTGCATCAGTAAATCTAAATCAGTTTTATTGTATGTGTTGCTCAAGACGCCGCAGGTACAATGTGTGTTTCTGTTTCCTATCAAATGAAACTCTTGCGTGACACTCCTGTTCCTCTTAACATATTTGACTAATAATGATGAAGAGAATCTGTTTTTGAGATTTTATTGTTGACCAGCCAAACGTCTGATCATTCACCTCTCCTCAACGAGACACATGATCTGAACACATGTGGAAAACCATGCAAAACAAGTGCTGCTGTAAGAGTCGGACTCTTGGTTCTGTTCTGACACACAAACTGCAGACTGATGGACTGCTTTATGGGACAAGAACTACAGTTTAGGGTTTCATATTCAGCTGTCAAGTGCCTGATTTAAGGGACTGTAATGATCATTCCAGTGGTTCCAGAGTAACGCAGTGACACTCGAGAGAAAGTTAGTTCTCACTAGACCTGAGAATCAAACCCCGTCACACACACCACCAGTCCAGCACTGATGGGTTTGTGATTTCCTCTGATAACTGACCAAACCTGATTCTTTCCATCATCATCATCAGTCAAATATGTTTAGGAGAATCAGGGCGCCGCTTTATAGGAAACAGAAACACATCACACCCGCGGCCGCTTGACAAACACACACATTCCTCTCCAACTCCAATTCCTCTGATCATATTTGACTGATGAAGATGAAGAAAACACTATCATAAGCTCATGACATCAGAGACTGGTTTAGGGATTAAAAACGTTTTAATCCTTAAAACTTTTTAATAATTTTCACCCTGCCCAATGATATAATCATCAGAGAAGTTACTTTTTTTTTTTTATATAACAATTTATTAAATATATATAAAAAATCTTTCAAAAAGTTTGCATATGTGTTTTATGTTTTGTATCATATTTGATGCATCAGGCTTTTACGGCTCATGTAGTCTGATATAGTGAGAATAAGAGAAGTAAAAATGGCTCAATTTTATTCAGAGACTCCAACTGAGCAAAACAATTGTTCATCTGGAGATCTGGAGATGGGGGGGGGTGGGGGTTTAAAAATATTAAATGAAAATTTTGTAACAAAAAATAAATAAAACTCATTTTATTCATTTGTATATTCATTAAAATTAATAGACAAAAGAAGAAACAATAAGCAACAGTATAACATTAAATAAGTTGAATCAAATTGATTGTGAAAGTCGTTTCAACTTAAACTGACTTAGGAAGTCGTTTGTTGCCATGACTTCTTGATCATACACTCTAAATAATGCTGGGTTGTTTCAACCCAATGTTGGGTCAAATATGGACTAACCCAACTTTTGGGTTAAATTTTTGTTACATTTTTAAATTAACTTTTTAACCAAACAGTTGGGTTAGTCCATATTTGACCCAACATTGGGTTGAAACAACCCAGCATTATTTAGAGTGTATTATTACTTGTCTGTGCCGGACCCAAATCAAGAATTAACAACCATTTCTACAGCCATTGCAAAGACACAGCAGAGAAAGATCGAGAGCATATTTACCTCCGCAGCAACCAATCTCGCATTCTCGCATCTGCAGCGCTTATTTTGATCTTTAACGTTGTTTTATTTCCTATTCTTGGAACAAAATTAATGCTTAAGGTTGATTCAGTATTACTCCTAATGAAAAAAACTAATCCCACACACAACATCAGCAATAGCTACTACAATGACAAAGTAGCTTATATTAAACAAATGTAAAAATAATCTGATCTTTAACGTTGTTTTATTTCCTATTCTTGGAA